CTTTCAGCCAGCCGGAATGGACAAGTTGTTCAAACTTGCGAAGGTCAACCCATCATCCATCTTCCTGGATGTTGGTTGCTCGAACGGCCGTGCCTGCATTCACGCCAGGTCGAGGTTTGGCTGTGCAGTGGTGTTGGGAATCGAATGTCATGGCTCCCGAATTCAAGAAGCGGCCCGAAACATCGTGAAGCACAACTTGGACCGTATTTTCCTCCTCCACATTGCCGCCGAACACTTCCCCCACTTCCAACCCGCAACCCACGTGTACATCTTTGATGACGCCATGCCGGAGGAAGTGGTACACCGAATTTACGCCGCAATTTTGGCGTCTCCAAGTGTCATGTACGTGATGACTGGCGTCAGAGGTATCGTTGCGTTGAGCAATGCGTTCGAGAAGATTTGACAAGTGTCGTACATGATGACGGCTGGCAATTGCTCCCGAACAATGTACGTGCTTCGTTCGGCAAGATTGCTGAATCCTCATTTCTGGGATTGTCATCCCGCATTTCATGGCGCTTTTTGGTTGCTGCAAATGCCTCGGCGATTCTACGATGCTTTTGTACGCCAAATTGCGGAACACATTCGGCTGGCCACGTTCTTCACGTGTATTCCACGTCAAGAAAGGGACGCCAATGCCATCGCGTTACCCACCCACAGCGTTGGCCGTACTGGCCGTCGAAGCGCTGCAGCACCGCTGTTCTCCCATGCGACGCTGGAGCCCCAAGTGGCGGTAGAAGCTCTAACCAAGGCAAGTTCTGAAGTGACTATCACCGTCAATGAAGTCAAGGCACGAGCTGGAGGAGCGTCCACGTCGTTCGTCTACGGAGAGGTCATGCTCGAGTCACTGCCGAGCTTGGCATCAAGCCTCCAACTTACTTCAGCCGACGTCTTCGTTGACATTGGCAGTGGCTTGGGAGGAGTTTGTCTGTACCTGGCCATGACGACTCCGGTCGCCGTTTGTGTCGGTATGCATGCTGTTTTAATGCTTCATCATCTGATTGCCATGGTAGGAATTGAAAGTGTTCATGCAAGACACAGATATTCACGCGAGATGGAGCGCAGTGTCGAAACGTTGGAGCGATTTTGCCCAAGGACGTGCTTCGTCCACGCTGATGCACTTGTGCCATAAAGATGGTGGCACGAAGGCACAGTTGTGTATTGCAACAACTTGGTCTTTGCCGAGACGGACAAGATCAAGCTTCTGAGCCTCTTAGCTGCTAGCAACGTGTGCCGTATGTGTGTGCTTACAAGTTTGAATGCGGACAGAGGCGCGGTGAATGGCAAGAAGCGGAAGACAGTGTCGACCGATTTCGTTGCAGTTTACCCGACGAAAAGTACTTTCGACATTGACACGACCCATGGGCGGGCTACATGCCACGTCTTCAAGCGTTAAAGAAGTCCTTAGAGCCTGGTCTGCGAACGAATTGTTCCTGCTTTTCGCCATTCCTGCTTTTGCAAAATCAGTTTGATTGGCTACAATTATCCGTAATCCGAATGTACTTC